GGAAGGAAATAAAACCCCCAGCCTGGGCTAAACCCCCAAACCGGCAGCACTGACCCACAGTTATGAGCCAGTCCCTGGGGACCCAGGCTCCGGCAGGGGGAGACAGGGCTGTGAGGCGGAATCCCAAGCGAGCAGCGAAAAGCAGGCCCCCCGGAGTCGCGCGCACATTGTGCGCAGAGGACTGAATGTTGACTCTGATGCTGGATTACCCTAACGTGAAGAAACAAAGCCTCCGGTGGCACTGTGCCTCAGTCTGGACTGCTCTGAACCCCAGTCCTGGACCAGACCCTGGGGACCCAGGCTCGGGCAGGGGGAGACGGGGCTGTGAGGCGGAATCCCAGGGGAGTGGCGAAAAGCGGAGCCCCCAGAGTCGCGCACACTGTGCGCAGAGGACAGTCTGTTGACTCTGATCCTAGACTCCCCTAGTGGGAAGGAGGAAAAAAAAAGCTCCAGACTGGAGGAATGCAACAGGGAGCAGGAGCCCCTGCCGGACACCAGCCAGCCAGGCGCCGGCAGGGAGCCGGGCGACAGGGCCCCCAGGGGGCGGGGGGTGCCTCTGAGCCATCGACCTCTGTGCGAGGGCAACAGAGCCAAGGCTGGGGGCTGCTTCCTGGGAGGCGCCGACCCCGGCAACAGGCTGGAGCAGCGCGGGAGCCTGCGGAGAACAAAGGGGTGCCACAGGCCAACCTGCTGAGCTTCCAAGACAGGAGGAAGAAACCAAAGTTCTCAATGTGAAGACATCAAGTGAGAGCAAAAGATAGTAAAATTACTTAAGAAAGAATACAAAGAAGATCTTGAAAATTCAAAGACTAAATCAGAACTCAACTCACCAGCCAACATTGCAACATAAATGCGTTTAAAAAAACACACACAAAAAAAAGGACAGAATGTTGGAACAGCGGGGCCAGGCCTAGAGTGCCCAGGCACAAAGCAATGGCAACCGGGCCCGGAGCAGCAACGGCCAGGCCCCAGAGCAGCAGCAGCCAGAACCAGAGCAACAACAGCCAGCACTGGAGCAGCCAGACCTGGGGCAGTGGCAGCCAGGCCTGAGGCGGAGGCAGCCAAGCCCAGGGTGGCCAGTCCAGGAACACCCAGACCCGGAGTGGCCGGGCCTGAAGAAGCCGGGCCCAGAGCAGCCAGGTTGGGAGCAGCCAGGTCCAGAACAGCAGTAGCCAAGTCCGGAGCATCCAGGCTGGGAGCGGCCAGACTCGGAGCGGCCAGGCCCGGGGCAGCCGGGCCCAGAGCAGCCGGGTCTGGTGCGGCCAGGCCCAGAGCAGCGGCTGCCAGGCTGAGAGTGGCCAGGCCCTGAGCAGCCGGGTCTGGTGCGGCCAGGCCCGGAGCAGCAGCTGCCAGGCTGGGAGCGGCCAGGCCCGGAGCAGCCGGGTCTGATGCAGCCAGGCCCGGAGCAGCGGCTGCCAGGCTGGGAGCGGCCAGGCCCGGAGCAGCCGGGTCGAGTGCGACCAGGCCCGGAGCAGCAGCAGCCAGATCCAGAGCAACTACGTCGGGAGCGGCAGTGACCAGTCCCGGAGCAGCTGGTTGGAGAACAGACCAGAGCAACAGAGGCCAGGCCTGGAACAGCCAGGCCCGGAACAGCTCGCTCTTCGCCTGCCCCTGCCCCACGGCTGCCTCTCAGACATGGCTGGAAACTTTTGTGGGAACTTGAGGGTCTGCTGAATCAAGTGATGAAGGCTTAGATCTGGATGTGTTGAGTTAGTATAGGGCTGGGGTGTTGATCTGTGAGTGCCTTGGGTGGGGCCTGGATGAGGCTGGTTGACCTATTTGGAAATGTCTTTTGTGTGAAATGTATCATTGGGCATGTGGTGGTATTATTGATATGAGAAAATGCTAAGTAACTGATTTACTATCTGAAAAGGGATTTACTATCGGGGAAAGGGAGGGAGGAAGAGACTGAACATAAACTGCACCTATGGATGAAGACAGTGGGGGATGGGGAGGGGGCGGAGGGTGGGGTGGGAACCTGGTGGAGGGGGGAAGAAATGAGAAACCTTTGTAACAATATGAACAATAAAGATTGATTTAAAAAAAAATAAGATCAAGGGAGAAGTTTTTTGTTATATGATCATTGTTCTATTTTGTTTTGTGATGCGAGCATATGCTTATGTAGTGAGAGGAAAACTGTGGTGAAGAGGGAGGTTGAAGATTCTGGGGGAGGGTGGTAATTGATGGAGCAAGTTCCTGCAAGTGGAAGTGTATGATTTTTGGGCACAGCATTTACCTTGGATAGAAAAAGCATCTTTTCTCTGGGGTCTTAGAAAAGGAGGCAAAGAGGAAAGGAGATGGAGATATACAGTTCCTATAATGTTTATAGACATGAGCATCAGGCAGGAAGTAAAGGAAATTCCTTTGTAATGACTCTTTCTCTGCCCCCCTCCCCCCGAGAAATAGAAACAAGTTTATTAGCTGAGAGTGAGGCTAAAAACTCATTACAACAAAATCTTGGCAGTGGGTGAGCACGGACTTGTATGCAAGTCTTCTCTCCCAAATGATTTATCATCTTCTTATTGACAAAGGAACTTTTCATGTATCTCCTTTCGTCAGTCACCTGTTATAGGGAAAAACCACAAGGCAAGCGCTCCAGAAACATCCTGGTGTATCTCAACTCAATTTATTTTCTCTTTTCTTTCCCGCTATTATAATACTCATTCTGGTTCTTATTTTCTTTCTCATTCTGAAAACATTACTTGCCCAGTCCAAGTCATTGATTTTTTTTGAAACTTCATAGTTTCGGTTCAAACTCCTCACTTTCATAAAGTTTTCGTAGATTTTGCTTTTCATAACATCCAAACTGGGACTGTTTCTGGGTAAAGAGGGTGAACACCAGGATACTTTCTGGAAAACAACACAGTGGACATCGGGGATGTTTCTGGAAAAAATGACACAGTGAAGCTTTTCAGGGCTGTGAAAGCACCTCTTAAAACATATCCTATCTTTCAGAGATATTTCAGTATTTGTCAACAGTGTTCTTTTAGATGCAAAATACGTTGAAAACAATTATTTCTTTTACTGCATTGGTTCTGACACAAAAAGTTAAGTTTGGCACAGTTGAGGATTGGCATGAAAGCTAGTGCGGTGAAAGCGTCCTTGGTAAGTGGGGGGATCTATGTTTATTTTAGGAAAATATTTGTCAACATGTCTTATTTCTGTGCTTACTGTATAAAATTTCAAACACTGATAGAAAAATCAATCTTAACATTCCAAGGAGCTCTCAATTACTCAGTAAGCACTCGCTGAGCACCACTGTATACCAGGCTTGGATTGTGGGGGGCACTGCAGGAGATGCAAAGGAAAGGCCGCCTGGAGAGCAAGAAACAGACAGCAGCATGGAACTGCAACAGATCTGAATTACCCGCCCGAGTCTGTACAAGCGAGTAGGCAATGTACAGAGTTTGCAAAACAGACAAACAAGAGAGTTATGCGTTTCTGCCTCAGAGAAATAATTCATGCTGCCAGAAGGAAGACAAGTGGAAAATAATGCCAGAAATGAGGTGAATTTTTTTCAAATTAAAAATAAATAAATAAATAAATAAATAGGAATTTAATGTTCATGAAAAACATTTGTCATTCACTGTGGAAACTGAGCCAATTATTTGTTCATAATTTTGTGTGCCTGGTAGCAGACACGTGGTGGTATGGTGCACAGCAGCAGAGGATAAAGCAAGAGACGCCAGGGTTCTGCCTGCAGTCAGATGGTGAGCTGGGGAGCCTCTTCCCTCAGGTGCGCATGTGTATGAATAGCTCCGCCTCCTTCCTGACACCATCCGAATGAAGGCAGAGGACAGAAGTTAAGTGCCTCCCTCCTCAGATGCCAAGGCAGGATGGCCAATTAGCAGTCTGAAAGGAAGCATTTTAAAATGCTCTTTGGCCTTTGGAAAGCTGCCACCTGGGACAAAGGCATTGGCTTCATTGTGACCACAATTGATCGAAATGGCCTCTCATCTTTTAATTCATTGGTTGATTAGAGCATAATGCCAAAAAAAAATGAAGGGCATGGGGCTTAAGCTTTCTGAAGATCAATTTTGTGGGTGCATGTTGTATCCTTGGGTATAATACCTTTCCCCTAAAGCCCAAGTTTTAAAAAAAATCAAGTAAAAATGTTTTGGGTTCATTTCCCCCCTAATTTTTTCTCCATTTGCCTTTTGTCCTGCAATGCAAAGAACACACACACACACACACACACACACACACACACACATACGGCTTTGTTTTAAAAATAAAGTAACTGGGATGTAGGATTATCCAGAGGTTTAAGACTTTCTGTTAAACTAGAAAGAGAATGAAATAGCAGGGGTGTTGTTGCCATTGCATACATGAAGCTATACCAATGAAAGAAATGGATGGTCAGCTGCTGGAGCACATTCTAAAACTGACCCACAAACAGGGCAAAACACTCAACTCCCTGAAAACCTGGATACTGCTGCTCATACTCTTTCAAGTTATAGTATCCGGCCTCCCTGACCATTGTTTCTCTTAGAAACTAGAGAAAGTGATTAGCAGAAAAACTGTCCTGACCAGCGGCAGCATTATCAGCTCCTTTCCCCGTATCCCCACAGAGCCCTGCTTTTATTTTATGTCAGAATTACTATTTTACACCTCACACTTATTGTACACCCCTCCTAACTCTCTTTGCAACCTTGATGCTTCACCTCCTTCCTTACAGGTCCCCCAGTGGGAGGCAGCAGGGGCAGAGACTGCACTGCCCAGGAGAGAACAGGGCCTGACCCAGCTCTGCGAGGAGGAAGCTGCCTGAGTGGGGGCCAGGTCCTCGCCTGGGAGAGGTGAGACCACACAGAGGTCTCAGAGGCCAGAAGGCAAGGCCGGCAGCCGCGATAGGACAGAGGAGGGCAGGACTAGTCAGAAAGGGGCTGCCCTTGCTGTCTTTTAGGACTTGGTTGTGGTATTCAGTGTTTGGGGCTGTAGTTCAACTGTCTAAGTGGCCAAGTTGGTGAAGAGCTGGGCTTTGTCTGGAGACAAAATCCCACTTGACCCAGTGATCCCACTTCTAAGAATAAATCCTAAGACACCCAAAACACCAATCGGAAACAATATATGAAGCCCTATTTTCAAAGCAGCACAACTTACAATAGCTAAGATCTGGAAACAGTCCAAGTGCCAATCAGCAGATGAGAGGATAAAAAAAACTGTGGTACATTTACACCATAGAATACTATCCTGCTGTAAAAAGAAGGAACTATTACCCTTTGCAACAGCATGGATGGACCTGGAGAATATTACAAGCAAAATAAGCCAGAGGAAGATAAGTATCACATGATTTCACTCATATGTGGAATCCAATGAACAAAATAACATGATAGAACAAAATAGATCCAGAGATGTAGAACCATGAAACAGACTGATGAATTTCACAGGGAAGGCGGGGGTTGGGGTTGGGAGGGGAGAGATTAACTGGAGAACTTAAATGCATAGATGCATAGGCCATGGACACAGACAATGGTGTGGTGAACGCTGAGGAGGGGTGAATGTGGAGAGGAGGGGATCAATGGGAAAAAACACATGCAAACAAAAGAAAGTAAAAAAAGAAAAAAAAAGAAAAAAGAAAAAACATAAAAAAGTTATATGCTCATCTGGGCACAATTAGACACATATAACTGATGTAGCATATTGAAAAAAAGGATTGCCTGTTCCTTTCTCTGCTTTTGAGCTTGACTTTTCCCTTGACAGTTTTACATTAAATGTCTTATCTTTGAGTCTGTATTTACCTTGCTGAAAGAGATTATGCTAAGAAAATATATATTCTATTGGTATTATTTCTTAAGTAACTATTAATACAATTTTTACAAATAGATATAATTAACTCTTACTCTGGCAACTTTCTTTGAAAGTTTCTCTCCTTTCCTTCCTGTGTTTTTTTGTAATCTCTGACTAACTTGTAAACATCTCTTTAGAATAATGAAATGTCCCCCATTTGGGTCCCAATCGGCTCAGCAGCAAAGACTATGATGTTTAGGAGCCAAGTATCACAGCAGTAAGGTAAAAATGAACAAAAAAAAAGTGTTCTAGATGGAAAAGCTCACAAGCCAATCCCTCTAAAGATTCCCTTGACACAAAGCTGAGACTTTGGGAACTATTAAAAGAAAATGATTACTAGAATAACATACATGTGATTAAAACACTCAATGTACTGAAGGTAGGGAATTTTCTTGGATTAGTATGGAATAGAGTATGCCAGAGGCTCCCCCAAAGTGTCCTCAAGCCTGCCTGCTCCCTCTCTGCCTCCATAAAGGGTAGAATTTACCCCAACATATTACCCCACCCTTTGTACCTCTGTAGACATTCTTTCATCCAGAGAAGTCTTTTGTGTCATCTGGAAATGGGTATTCAAAATGTAAACATACCTTGCAGCCTTACTGCAGGTCCAAATTTTTTCGTCCTTAGCAAGAAGTGCCAGTGGAAGGGCCAATAATCTTTAATCTTTACAGCGAGGCTCCTATCAGCTGGCTGTTCCTCAGTCTCACTGAGCAACCACGTAGCTAGAAACGTAGACCTCAGCCCTCCCTGGTCCTACCGTATCTGCCCCAAAAGCTGCGTGAGGACAGGACATGACTGTTTTTTAAAACATTTCATGAATCACTTTGATTAAGTACAACAGTTGGCCATGTTTTGTTACCACAAACTCTCCTGTTAATCCAGTGAACAAACATTTATTAAATACTTATTTTGTTGCCACTCACTGTGCTAGACTCAGGGGACACTATAGTCATGCTCCTTCCTTCCTGGGAAAGACAGACAGTAAACAAAAATCCGCCCCACTGTGGTCGGTGCTATGAAGATGACAAACGTGATGGCCTGAGTGAGGTAGGTAGGAATGGATGGATCAGGGATATCTGAACTGAGAACTAAGCAGGTGATATTTGAACTGAGAACTGGAGCATGAGAATAAGTCAGACTTTTCTTTTTTGCGTGTGTGTGTGTGTATGTGTGTGCATGCATGTGTGCACCTACATAGATTTTTATTTCTAATAAAATAAATATCAAGGTGAGACCGGTTTGGCTCAGTGGATAGAGCGTCGGCTTGGGGACTGAAGGGTCCTGGGTTCGATTCCGGTCAAGGGCATGTACCGTGGTTGCGGGCATATCCCCAGTACGGGGTGTGCAAGAGGCAGCTGATCGATGACTCTCTCTCATCGATGTTTCTAACTATCTCTCTCCCTTCCTCTCTGTACAAAATTAATAAAAATATATTTTAAATAAATAAATAAATATCAACATAATATCCCAAATAAAAGTGTGTGTCTTTTTGTTTTTCACAGAGTTTAAGGGTCATGAGACCAAAAAGTGAGAAAAACCACTGTGGTTCATCCCCAGCCGGGATTGGTCCATTTGTTGCTCTGACCTCATAAAGTGCCAGTGTGATGGAATTGCAAACCACTCCCATACATAAGGCCCTGCCTGGGCTGAGGATTTAGTCCGTGTAGTGCAGGGAGCTCGTCTAGGTGACCTGAGACTAACTAGGACAAATCTGCAGTTTCATTTTTATTTTTAACTCTTTTGCTGTAATCATGCCCCATTGCCCTATCCCGACTACCGTCAAGGGGCAGTGCATAGGAGACTATGTGTTAGGGAAATCTATCGGCAAGGGTGCGTGCTCGAAGGTCCGGCTGGCCAGACACATGCCCACGGACACCAAGGTGGTAGTAAAGAGCATCATCCGGCGCGATGTCGGTGTCTCCAGTTCCTACCGAGAGCTCCGCTGTTTAAGAACCCTACAGCACCGAAATATCTCGCGGTTGCTGGAGGTAGTGGTGGACCCCGAAGAGGTACATCTGGTGATGGAGTACGTGCGCGGCGGGGACCTGAAGGCGCACCTGGAGCGGCGCCGCCGCCTCACCGAGCGCCAGGCCCGCGTGGTGTTCCGCCAGATCGCCGTGGCCCTCCACCTGTGCCACCAGCGCGGCTTCGCGCACCTGGACATCAAGCCGGACAACATCCTCTTAGAAGAAGACCTCACCGCCAAGCTGGCGGACTTCGGCCTCAGCCACGAGGCCACCGAGCTGCTGACCAGCTGTTGGGGAACACTGTACTACATGGCGCCCGAGGTGCTGCGGGGCGAGCCATATGACGGCCGCAAGGCTGACGTCTGGGGGCTGGGCGCCTCCCTCTACAAGGCGGTGACGGGGCGCGTGCCCTTCCCGGGCAATAGCAACGAGAAGATCACGCAGCGCATATTGGATGGGCACTACAAGCCGCCCTACTACATGTCGGAGGCGGGCAGGAGCTTCCTCCAGCGGCTCCTGACGGTCGACCCCGACCAGAGGCCGACCCTGGAGGAGGCCATGCGGATGCCCTGGATGGACCTGGGTCCAGAAGACCTGCCTCCCGACAGCGAGCCGCCCGGGGAGGACCTGGACCCCCAGGTGGTGGAGACCATGCGCGGCATGGGCTTTAGGGAGGAGGACATCAGGGACTCCGTGGCGGGCCAGACATTCGATCGAATAATGGGGACTTACCGCATCCTCCTCATGACCACGGGCAGGATGGCCATGGGGAGGATGCCGGGCCGCACCGTCAAGGTCAGGCCCTACCGGCCCCCTGACACTGGGGCCGCCACCCCTTCCAGCCGCGAGGAGTCCCGGGCATCGGGGGGCTCGTCAGGACCATCAGTGGCGAGCCCCCCCTGCCGGTGGGCAACGAAGACCAGCGCCCCGCCGTCCAGCCTGGAGACCATGGCCTCCTCCCCTCTTCCCCTGGAGCCTGTGCAGGCGCTCCAGCCAGAGGGCTCGCCAACACCATCCAAGGTGAGGCCCCTGTGCCTGGCGGTGAAAAAGACCTATGCCCTGCCCGCGCCTCCGCCCAGCCTGGAGACCATCGCCTCCTCCCCTCTTCCCCTGGAGCCTGTGCAGGCGCTCCAGCCCGGGACCCGCGGCCCAGCCCCGCAGCTCCGCCCGGGGGACGCCCCCACCCCCCGCACCAGCAACCGCTTCCGCAGCAGTGAGAGCAAGGCTGTAAAGGCGGAGAACCAGGAGGGAGCCCCCCCTGACAGCTCCCCCCAAGACGGCAGCCCCCCCCAAGAGGGCAGCCCCCGAGCCTCCCCCGCAGCCAACACCCGGGCCCGGCCGGGCTTGGCGCAAAGGGCCTGGAAGACGTTCCTAAAGGTCTTCTGCTGCGGCGTTGACACAACCAAACCCCGCAGGAAGAGAACCAGCGTCCACCCTGGTAACACTTGAAAGGTGAGGAGCTTGGGTCGATGTTAACATTTAAGTCATTTTGGAAAGTAGTTAACAAAGAACTTTACATTGTTTCTGATCTCTCACAGTCCACGCGGAGCTGCAGAGCTGCAGGAGGCCTGGTGCGCGGAGCAGAGGAACAACCAGAGGCGAGGCCGTTGGCAGGCAATTGTAAAGCAGATGGTGGAGGTCTCTTCGGCTCTGGCTCCCACAGGTAGGGTATCCAGCAGCGCCTTGGAAAGCATCTTTTTTAAAATTTTGTTTTATGTTTTGGTTTTCTGTTAGTTTTAGTTTTTTTTTTTAAATTTAATTAATTAATTAATTAATTAATTATTTTGGCATTAACCATGCCTCATGATTGGGGAAGACTGCGTCGCGCCCCCTGGAGGTCAAGATGAGTGTATGCCCTCGTAATGGGCCCATTTGTTTGGCAAGGTAAGATTTATGAAGGAAAGCAATCTATACATCATCTTCAAGTTAGCTGATTACTGAATTAGCTATTTAAAATTAGTTTTAGAAATTGATTATGAATAGATTATATATATATATATATATATATATATATATATATATATATGGAAACGCCTACTTTCCTAATTATAAATAAAATTAAGCTTAAATTTTTTACATCTGAATTTCAACATCATACGCTAGTCTGGCCATTATAAGTGAAGAGTTTGAATAGTCTATAAATCAGCCACAAAACTAAACTAAAAAAAAAGGGGGGGTGCATTTTAGCATGAACTTTGATAATGAAAATATTAAACTTAATTAGATCTAAAACCAGGAATAGTTTAGTTTTGAAAATCATCTTTTTTGAATGAGGCATTAACATGTTTTTTAATATCAAAACTCTACTGATTTCTCACTTTATGTTATTAATTCTTAAGTTGATGCAATACAAGTTTACTATGGTATTGTTACCAAGCAATAGAGTCTATTTTCTTTCAAAGGCTCAATTAAATGTTTGCTCTTAGCTTACTGTATGTCAGATATCTTTTGCAATTATGCATAGCCACTTCCTCTTGGAATTTAATTCTTTGTTTGCAAACTTAAAAACAATAAAAATTAGAAATACCTGTTACTAACTAAAATTAACTTTCACATTTGTTTTCTATATATTTGTTCCACACAAAAATCTTTGATTAATTTTAAGTAAAAGTTAAATCACATGATTTATACATAAAATTAAAATTTAATATTAAAACAGTGAGAATCACGTCAATATTTTACAGTAAAACAATTAGAAAATAAGTTTCCTAATTTCTCACTCCACTAACTCATTCATTTAGAGGATTTTTTTATAGACAATGAGTGATAATTTACTTTTGTTTGTTTGTTTGTTTTTAAAGAAATTGCTGTGATGGAAGGCAAACAATTTATTGGCTTCCCTTTCAAATTCCGACCCCATAAGTCACTATTCAGGATTAAGTTTTTGTGGAATGAACAAAGGCAATTTAACATTGATTATATGCAAGTAATAAGTATAGGTAGATCAGAAACAATATAAAGTTCTTTGTTAACTACTTTCCAAAATGACTTAAATATTAACATCTACCTAAGTTCCTCATCCAGCTCCTGAGATGCAGCCTTCATGCTAATTGCAGAAGGAAGTAGTTTGTCCTGCTGGAGCACCCGTACAAAACGCGGCCCACCTGCCTGGGGATTGGCTGTTGCCGTGGTTACAGTTTGTTTGGTTTTCTCCAGGCGCTCTCTTCCACTAGATGGAGGGATTTAGCTGCTGGTGGGTTACCCCCTGCTGGGGTCACTCACACCGGGCCCCCCAAAAGGCGACCTCCCCTGCGAGGTCGCCCCCCGCCAAGGCTTGGCCCCCAAGGTGGGGTCGTGGTGGGAAGGAGGCAGCGCCGCGGGAGCGCAGAGGAGCCGGAGCCTCTGGGTCCTGACCGGCTTCAGGGCAAGAGAGGAGGGGCCGCGAGCCGCTGCGCGAGGCTCCAGGCTCCAGGCTCCCCTCACTTTGGGGCATTTTGGTGGCTTAGTCAAACTTGATCTGCTCTGACTAACCTTCCCTCAATGAAGGTGCTCTGCCTTCCGCACTCCCTTCTTCTCTATTCTTTCTCTTAGTCTATTTTTTTCGTACATAAATTTGGTTACTTTTTAAAAGTAGATTTCGCTCCCCTTTTATTATAGTTGAACTATGGTTGAAAGGTAGAGTTACTTAAGATTTACCACGTTTAGCGGCTTTAGCCAATTCTAAGTGATTCAATATAAACTTCAAATGTTTGCTGTCGCCATGTCCATAATCAGTCTAGGGCTGCACTCACCTGCCAGCTAAAGGAAGCGGTTGAGGGTTTGAAATGCAGCCAGTCCGCGTGAAATGTGCTGTAGGTGTACAATGCACACCAGATGTTGACTACTTAGTTGGCAAACAAGAATGTAGCCTTTTTAGGTTGAACTTCATAACAGTTTTTAACTGATTACATGTTGAAATACTATTTTGGATAAAATAAGTTACATAAAATATATTATTGAAGTTAACTTCACCTGTTTCTCTTTATTTCTTAAAACGTTGCTACTAACTAGAAAATTTAAGATTACAAATGTGCTCGAATATGTAGTTGGACAGGGCTGATCTAACGATCAGCAGATGAGCAGAGAGAGACATATAGTGGAAGTGACTCTTACCTTTCCCCTAGTTTCCTGTCTTTCTAAATAACGTTTTGTATACCTGTGTATTCTGCTTTATATTAGGTTTTAAAAAAAAGTTTCACCTAACCTTTGAATTGCACTTTAAGTTGGTTTGATTACAGAATCACATTTTGCACCAGTGGTGGTGTTTTGTTCTCCTTTAGGTGAGAAAGGTTGTGGATAAACTGAGTATTTTTAACTAGCTTTTAAAATTATGAAAGTACTGCATATTTATTATTTAAAAAATCACTCAACATAAAGGTATGAAATGAAAATCAAAAGTTCCTCAATGCCTCCCAGCATGTTTCTGTCTAAAAATAAAGGGTGTGTGTGGTTACATAAGAGTGATATTACTCTGCCTATCTCTCTGATACCTGCCATTTTAAAATTATTTCTCTGTGGCTATATTTCCTGAGGAGGATAGTAAGTGTGCTTATTTTTACTGAAAAACTAGTATAGTATTCTATTCCCTGGCTGCATTATATTTATCTGTTTTCCTATTGAGTACGTAGGATATCTATACACTTTAGTGGTGTAATTGTAGATTCACATGCAGCCTTAAAAAATAATACTTGTACACAAATGCAGCCTTGTATACACTGTCCAGTGTCTCTCAGTGATAATATTTTGTAAACTATATTATAATTTCATGACCAGGATATTTATATTGATGCAATCTGCTTTACTTGTACTTATTTGTATGTGTATATGTCCTATATAATTTTTATTATCTGAATAGATTCACTGATCTAGTACCCCATAAAGATACTGAACAGTTCCAACATTATAAGGATCTCTCATGTTGGCCTTTTATCATCATAACATCTTCTTCTTCCAACACAATCAACTCCAACTCTTATCAACCACTTATATGTTCTCAATTATAAAATTGGTGGCATGTAAAAATGTATAGAAATGGAATCCTAAAGTATCTCATGCTTTGGTCTCTCAGCATAATTCCATCTTGAATCCACCAAAAAAGCTGATGTTGAGATGGATGAGTAAAATAAGGCAAAAAAAAAAAAAAAAAAGGGGAAGGGAGGGAAGGGAAAAGAGGGAGAGAGGGAGAGAGGAAGAAGGAAAGAGAGGGAGGCAGGCAAATCCAAGAAGACAGAGTTCAGAGATCGAAAGGCCAGGGACTTGAGGAAGGAATGAAAGTTCGGAATAGTCTCTAAAATAAAATAATAGCTGACTAGTACAGTTATTTTCAAAATTATTTCTACCAAGAGCCACAATAAAACAACAAAAAATAGGTTACATTGTAATTCAAGCACACATACATTCTTTAGAAACATGTTTGTTTTTTAAACAAATCTTTAGCATATATAGTGTAATTGTAGGGTTTTTTTTTTTCCTGGCCTATTTTAATATTTTCTATCCTATCCTGTCATTAATACTTGATAATCAAGAGGCACTAAATTAACTTTTTGATCTGCTAATGGGTTATCATAAATAATTTTAAGATTATTAGAAAAGGAGATGTTCAGAAGGATTGCTGAGCAGATGAATAGCTTGAGCTTGGGGACCATTTGGTAATGAAGACAGGATTTGAATTCAGGATGTCTGCATTA